TTAAAATAATTAATTGACTGTCTGCTTCAGGAATGCTTAAATTTGAGAATACTTGAGCACTTTCGCTCAGTGTTTATAATATGTATCATGCAGCCACTTACATACATAAATTTCAACTATGATTGCTACTACTGTCAACAATAAACTTTCGCAACAACATTCTTTTATAAATCACTTCTGAATTGTCATATGGATAACTGAGAATGTGTTGCACCAATCAAATATATTATCTGATTAATTTAAAAAAAATAAGACAAAAAGACAATGAATGCTATTTTTTAAAGCTTTCTCATCTTTATAGCTTTGTCTTGCTACCGCTCTACCATTTCGCTAATACTACACACTTCTAATCACATTTATCATTCGCTGACAAAATAATAACAGCAGTAGCAGCAGCAACAACAGCAGTATCAGCAAATAGTAACAACAAAATCAACAAAAACGCTTACCTTTTTATACCTATTTTTGACTAAACACATAACACCTAATCAACTGAACCGTTTTATCAAATTTTGTATACGAAAATAATAAGAAATAAAAAATTTTAAATGTTTAATTAAACATAAAGTTTTCAGTATATATTTTCAGTGCTATTTAAAAGAAGAAAAACTGAACATGAATATAACAAGTGGAACTATATTAGTGCTAGTAATGATTTGTAACTGTACACATACCGCTCGCATTTTGCAGGTTTAGTGTTCGATGGAATGCGAGGATGATCGTTTCGGGTGGGTGCTGGACCGCCGCGTTGCGGCCTCACAACCCGGGAATCTGAATCCCGAGTAAAGTAGTCAGAAGAGCAGCTTGACGATATAGTGCACGACAGGCCAGAAACTGATGCTACAAACTGATGCCACACAAAATGCATTCACAAAACCGTTCTGTCCACTGTTCCTTGAATCTTTTGATTTCCAATTTTCGTCCAATATACTGGAAATGAATCGCAATCCTGCAATATTATCAACTATAATAATATTTATTGAAATCAATCTCTGAAAAAGCGTTTCAACGATTTTTACGCCAAACTATCGTCATACAA